TATATATATATATATGTGTGTGTGTGTGTGTGTGTGTGTGTGTGTGTGTGTGTGTGTGTGTGTGTGTGTTTTTCTTCTAGCCAGGTTTTCCCTACATAACCAAGGTTTTTTTGTAGCTCCAGCTCAGTAGAATCACATCTACTCGGTTCTGGGCTTTTTTCCTTTCTAACAGCTAGCAAGCTCTAACTGCTAGGTGGGAGACCTAAATAGATCCATTTCTAGCTTGTTTGCTTTCATCAGTAGGCCACACCCATATCTTATGTATCCTCCCTGTAAAGGTACAATATCAATTTTCTTACTTCTTTGTAGGGTTTATGTACCCATAAGATATGGGGTATACGTAAAAAACTCATTCCAGTTCATAGACATCATAAAGCAACAAAACTTACAGCCCAATGACCTACTCGTGAGCTTTGATGTCATATCCCTCTTCACCCAAGTACCAATCAAAGAAGCCTTGACAATTATCCAAAACAAATATAACCCCCCCAAGCACATCTTAGATCTGACCAACCACTGCCTATCCAACACATACTTCATCTATAATGGACAGAAATACAAACAAATAGAAGGAGCACCCATGGGATCACCCCTCTCACCTGTCATTGTAAACCTCTATATGGAATACTTTGAAACCCAAGCTCTAGAAAAATCTGATCACAAACCCAAACTCTGGCTCAGATATGTAGACGACACCTTCATAATCTGGCCACATGGGAAAGAAAAACTGGACAACTTCCTCACACACCTCAACAGCCTACACCCCAAAATACAGTTCACCATGGAAACAGAAGCGAACAACCAACTTCCCTTCCTGGATGTCTTAGTCTACAGAAAATCCAATGGCTCCCTAGGACACACTATCTACCAGAAGAAAACACACACAAACCGCTATCTGCACGCACTCTCACACCACCACCCTGCCCAGATCAACTCTGTAGCCAAGACACTCATTTCCAGAACAAAACGCTTAGCTGACGAACAACACCTAAAAACCGAACTACACACTCTCACTAACGTACTAACATCCAATGGATTCCAAAGAAATAAGATCACCAACCTAATCCAAAAAGAAACCCCCACTAAAATCCAAGACAGAGAACAAGAAAACGGCAAAGCCCTCCTCCCATACATAAAAGGCACCACAGACAGAATAAGCAAAATCCTCCACAAACATAACATCAAGACAGCATTCTGCACAAACCGAAAAATATCCACCATCCTAAGGAACCCCAAAGACAAAATTGAGTTAGAAAATCAAGGAGTATATGAAATCCCATGCACCGCCTGCCCCACCACATACATCGGACAAACCAACAGACGAATAAGTGCATGCATAGAAGAACACAAGAACTCAGTCAGAAAAGAGGAACCAACTTCTTCCCTGGTCCAACACCTTAAAGCCACAGGACATGATATTGACTTTAAAAAGACCAGAACTATCGCCAAAACTGAACACTTTAACAACAGAATAATCAGAGAAGCCATCGAGATAGAAAAACGCCCACACAGCATGAACAAACGAGACGATACCTCCCAAATACCAGCCATTTGGAAACCCGCCCTTATTGACAAACGAGTCCCTAACACGACGAATGACACCAGACCCACACTCATGAGAGCCACACAGGATGTCACCACCACACATCCACGCAGAAAGCAGACTCAAACCCACACTGATAATGAGCCATGACCAAGGACCAGAAGCCAGACCGCAGCTGCATCATTAGCCACTTTAAACCCCTCCAATCCATACATGAAGCAGACTGACACCCACCATGAAGAGCTCGCACGGCCACAAACACGAAGCCAAACAACAACAACGCAGCTCACCAGCTCAAATCCTCCTGCAACTCAGACTAAGCTGAGCACAACCAAGCCCCCACCCAAACAGAACACACCCCCAGCCAATCAGAGCACAACCAACCCCCCATCCAGTCAGAGCACAGCCAAGCCCCTAACCAATCAGAACACACCTCCACCCAATCAGAACACAGCCAAGTTCCCACCCAATCAGCTCACACCCCCACTAGCAGTTAAAAGGAAGAGACAGCTGCGATCTCACATTGCTCCTGGAAGCACGAAGCCGAGAACACCAGCCTGAAGATGACGAATGAGACTTCGTCGAAACATATATATTTGTTTTCTCAGGTTTTCGCGATTTTACGTTTTTACGTTTTTTTAGTTTTTACGTGGGAGAAGACCCGAATAACCAAAGACCTACATATATATATATATATATATATATATATATATATATATATATATATATAATACTTCGCTGATAAAGAAATAAAGGGAGACTTTATTTATCTTTATCAGCAAAATATAAATTTGATATAAAATGGTTTGTCGTGAATGCGACTGCTCCCACATACTAGGGTAGACTAGGTATCTTGATAGAAAAACACTTAAAATATATATATATACACACACTCACTCATACACACACAAAATTGTACTTGAGAAAACAGTATCGGAACAATAGTTGATTATAAATGGAATATGAAGTAACAGTATAATATGGTTTCAAAAATAAATACAGTTTTGAAACTGAAGGGATTAGGAATATGTAGCTCTTAAAAGACAAGAGTGGGAGAGGTTATCAGAGCACTCTTTAAATATCAAGGGTTGTTCTCTATCATCCCAGAGTACTGACTGGAAAATAACAATCTTACTTTACTGCAAGACTAATTCTAGTCAAATGATAAATACTTCTGAATATTAAGACTAGTTTAATGTGTAATTAGATGTTATCAGAGAGGTGGTGGATTCATTTCCACTGAACGTATCCAATAAGAATCTAAACAATCTCTTGTCATGAGTGCTTTAATTTGGATTCTTGCATGAAGAAAGGGTTGGACACTTTCAGTCTAAATCACCTTTTTCAGTGTTATGATATTACAGACTGGAATGGTATCCAGAAGGTTGATCCTCCTTTTATACACATAGTTTCCATCTTCCTAGAATCGCTCTCTAAGTAGAGTGGATAATTTTTTGCTGCCTCTGATGGATTCTGATGTGGTAGTCATAAATCGAAAGGGAAGGATTCTTCCTCCCCTCCCATGCACAGTGACCTTAATCCAGTTCAGCATTCATAGTTACTTTTGAGTAAAGATGGTACAGGGAGTATATTTAGCATACCATGTAATTTGCTCTTCAGAGTGTTTTCTGTTTGTATTTGTGCCTGGTTCTGAATCCGCAAATACCGCCCTTTGTGAGAAAAACACCAAATGTAGGAAATTGAGGCTGCAGTTACTAATATTGAAGTATTAGTGTATTAAACAGGGGTTTTTTTTTGTCATGAGTTCATTCAGCCACAGTACTTGTTCTGATAACTGTACTGTTTTTGAATTTAAGTGTGAGACCATATATTATAGGCCAAGAGGAAGTGCTGGTCCTCTTGAGAAAAATCAGACAATGCAAAGAAAGTCAAAGGGAAGGGAATGGGAATGGACGGGCTTCATTGCTGGAGATTTCACAGAGTAGCAGCCTGGAGGTCTGAGAATTGTTTGACTCTCAGAATCGACTCTGATGGATTAACTCGGGAGTTACTTTTTGGTTTCATTCATGACCTGAGAATCCCTTTCCCTTTGATGTGTTCTTTACCAAATTGTTAAGGCAGACCCATTAGATCAGGAGTGTCAAACTCGCAGCCCGCAGATCAGATGCGTCACGTGCTGGCTCTGCCCCCACTTGGTTTTTTGAAGGGGAAAAAAGTCCCGATGTGTCATGTGACACCGCCGTGACGACATGAGTTTGACACCCCTGCATTAGAGGGATCTTACAACAATGGCAGGAAAATTTACAAGTTTGATTTAAGACCAACAAAGATGATTTTTAGAGCAGCCCATTAAAATCTTTTTTATTTTTTAGATAAAAGATAAAGATCGTGCTGATTTGTTTGATGCTTCCTTTGGAATGACTGTTTACTGGTGGAAACTTTGTTCAAAATCCATTAACACCACAAACTAAGAAGCTGAAATGGGGAAATACTTTTAGTTTTTCCAGCCTGTTTCCTTGCTGAGTTTTAGCTTGTGCACACAGTGTTTTTATTTTGGTAAGAAAGCAAAAGAAATTAATACTCGATTGCCCAAGAACTCTGGCATTTCTTTCTCCATCAATCTCATCAAACCTCATTCCGTGCAAAGGGCTTTTGCAAACTACTGTGAAATAGTCTTGATTGCTAGAGTTAATCAGAGCCAAGAAAAATTTAAAGCTGCGTTTACGTAATTGTGCTTGTATGAATGTGTCCAAGAGAAAGAAAGAAATATTTGCCTCCAGATATATAGTTCAGCTTTAGACTAAATGGTGTTTGGGCAGAAGGATGCTCTTTAGATAGAAACATGCATTACATCACTTCACAGTGTGGTGAGCCAGCCCAACTGTTCATGTGCTTTCTGAGTCATTCTGAAGAATGAAGCCAAAATATTGCCCTGATAGTTCCACTATTTCTATCTGTCTTAAAGATGGAACTATTTACTGGAATTATGTTATCTCCAAACATGTTTACTATGAATCGATGTGATTCAGCCAATTTCTCATTGGAGACTGATGATAGAGTCCTGTTGACTCACAAATCTCTCCTTGGGCTGGTTACCCTTCTTTATATTAATATACTATAAAGCAGCTCACAGGGGGGAAGGGAGGCTCTTTAGGAAATGACTGGGATTCACATGCACCATTTGGGATTGTTCTGTCCCAAGACAAATAAATAAATAAGTGCAATGTTTTATTTAGACCCTTATGTTTTGACATATTAGGTTCAGTTATAGGAATCCTCAGACAATATTGTCATTAATATTAATATATTTAAAGGGCAAAAAGTGAATTGGTCCAAGGAACTTAGGTAGATTGGTGCTCCTCTGATTCTACTCCCTCTGATTCCGGCAGAAAGATTTTGATGAATGTTCTCGTTCTTATTTGTTTTCAGGATTTGTATTTTTTTTAAAGGGCATGCTTACATCTGTCCTCATTTTTGTTTCACTTCTTATTTGCAGGGAACATTGAATATAGTTGTCCAGCTACCAATGAGTGTGAAATCACAAAACGGAGGCGCAAATCCTGTCAGGCCTGTCGTTTTATGAAATGCCTCAAAGTGGGGATGCTGAAAGAAGGTAAGGTGGGCTGCATTGCACTTTCGGTCTGAATACAAAAGCGAAACAAAAGAAGAGAATGGCTGAAAAACGAGCAGTTCAATTAATCTGATCTCACTGTCTCTTGCCTCAGAATGTGGAGGATGATCCTAGGGAAGGTCTTCAGATAATGGAAGAGTTAGGGAGATTTTTTTTAAAAAATCAAGATTGAGCAGTACTATTGAAGCAGTATTGTGGTTTGCAGGATTTCAGTCATCTTGATTTTTATTTTTATTTTTTACTCATCCCAACCTTAAATGATATTTGGCCAGGGGTGCATGTATATACGCCATCAGCAGATATGTATTGATAGTGTTCTGGCTTACCATCATCATATATGGTCACTTTTAAAATCTGACATGCTGTTTTCATTTATATTTTGATTATTTAAGTTATAGTTTGATTATTTTTGTAAACTACCATGGGTAAAGTCAATAAATAAATACTATATAGAAACTCACCATAGAGAAATCATTTTCTTGGTTTTGCTGTATGAAGATGATGGAGAAAAAAAAAACTTTTTTCTACAGATTTCTGTTTCTCTGATGAGCGGAGGCAAAGATCTCATTTGTGAAACAGCTTTCTCTTGCCCATTTATTATTAGGGCAATTCCTTTATTAAATCCTCCACAGAATACAGCATGCAAGCTATTGAGTCCTCAGGGCTTCTTCATCTGCAGCAGCAGGTGTGAAGAGAAAAACAGGTTAAAAGATGGATGATGTTAGAGTGATTGAGTCTCTGTATTGTTGCTCTCAAGATGCAATGAGTGAAAGAGGTAGCAGCCATTCAAATTAGGCTGTGCTAGATATGGTGAAAGTTTCAGATTGCATCTAGGACTGCCCTGAAGAATACTAAGATGAAAAACATAATTAGGATAGCCCTTTTAAAAAAAAGGGAGGGGGTGTGAGTTAGATTCTGTTTGTTACCTGTATCTGTCTTCATCCTTCTTTGACATAAATGGGTACTTGGGCAGAAAGGAGAAAAAAAGATCAGAATGAAACTAGACCATTTTTGTATTTTAAAAGCTGGAGATCTTAAAGTAATTGTAAAAAGCTGCAGAAGCTAATGCAATAGAACCTGAGCTAGGTTGCTGTACCCAATTGTTAAATGTCTCCTCAGAGGAAAAAAAAATGCTTTCAGGTGATGTACAGTGTGTTCTAAACACACATGCACAAATATTTCAGTCTGAAGCCTGCAAACATTTTGACATTTGAACGCCAAATTGCAGAACCAAATTTTGGCCAGGTGAATTGAGGCTGCTAGGGAGGTGGGGCAGGAGGCACTTATGACCGCAGACCTATAGTGTGCTTATCTTTGGATTCATAGAATAATGGCAGACCTAGATAAACACAGCTGCCATTTGTCTAAACTGTTCCTCTAAGATTCAGAAATGCAGTGCTTGAAATATAACCTGATGGTGTTGGCCATTTCATTCTCTCCGCATTCAGACAGTGAGTAAAAAGCTGCAGGAAGATTTGGAAAGTGAAGTATTTGTAAATGCATTAAAATAAAGTGGAAGAGCAACAGCTCTGTATTCGCCATAACATCCATTCTTACCCATGATAGCTATGAATGTATCTAATTAGCTAGGAACTATTCCTGATGTAAAACTGTTTTAGATGTTTTGGTTATATTATTTCAGTCAATAAGGCTATACAGAAAAAAGAAAATAAAATCTACCGAAAGGAAGAAATACAGGTTCATGTTTAGTATTTAGAGCTATTTCAAACTCTAAACAAAATGATTGTGATCATTTTCATCAGTATCATTGTAGATGTATGATTACAAGACCCCAAGAAACTTGCTGCGTCAGACTATGATCCTGTCTAATTCAGCATTCTTTTCTCAGCAGATGTCTGGCTGGACTAGCAAAGCTAAAAAGCTGACATGAATGTAATAGTATCACACAGATCTGTACCTTAGTGAAAGACATACTGCCTTGTGCCTTCCTTATTGGAGGCAATATATAGCCAGCATGACTAGAGCTAATAAGATTAGCTTTATTCTCCATGAATTTGTTTAATCTCTCCATAAACTCATCTAAATTAATAGTCGACAGTGAATTATGTGGAATCAAATTCCAGAATATTTATTACATCATTGTCCGGCAAACTATATATATATTTGTTTTCTGAGGTTTTCATGGGTGTTTGTATGTAGGTCTTTGGTTATTTGGGTTTTCTCCCGCGTAAAATTGGAAGTGTCCAATTTTAGACACTTCCAATTTTACGTGGGAGAAAACCCGAATAACCAAAGACCTACATACATACACACACACACACACACACACACATATGGAAAGGTAGCAGAATCTTCAAATCTAAATTCAAATTTCAGAAAAACTATTGGTATTCTTAGGTTTTATTATTTATTTTTTTAAAAATAGGTCTTGACACTTGCTCTGAAGCATTGGTGGAAATCAACATTTTTCATACTTGAGAGCCACTCCCACCCACACATTTAATAACACATGTACCACAGCCTTCCAGTCCCACTCATGTATCATCTACATATTATTGTTCACTTACTGAGGAATAATTTTTGACATCCCCAAAAAGAAAAGACGGAAGATAAGGATTGTCATTTCAAATAGGGTCAATGGAAGGGAAAAGGGAAAAAGTAAGATTCCAAAGGGACACTTCAAGACTATGAAAGACTACCCTTGTGATGTACTGGGGCTTGGTAGAGCAATGCAGAAAGTGAATAAGAAAGAGGCAGGAAGGGACAGAATGAACAATCAATAGGTTTCTCAGATATCGTGGCTGTTTTCTTTAAGAGAGCCCCAATCAATGCACTATAACTAAAAGGATGCATGAGCATAGAGCCATCTCAATTACTTCCATCTTTATACTGCAGAGTAGAGACTCACTGATATACCTAAAATTCTAAGTGAAAAACTACCTATTTAAATTCTGAGATATAAGTCCAGAGCACATGTATTCAGTATGTTGGTTTTTAACCTATAGTTAATCATCCTTCTCACAGAAAAAAGTGTCAGTTAATATTCCTTCAGGGGCTTTAAATCTGTAGAGATTGTCCAAAGTGACATAAAGTATTTTTGCTGAATATACAGTTTTGCTCTCAGAGATCACCCTGGAGGAAAAAAATTGGTTCCAGGTTTTGGCCAGGAGAATTTGACCTTCAAGCATGCTTGAAATAGGGAAGATATGTTTTTTTTTTTTTTAAATTGATTTATATGCCGCCCTTCTCTGGAGACTCAGGGTGGCTTACAATGCGTTAAGCAATAGCCTTCATACTTTTGTATATTTATACAAAGTCAGCTTATTGCCCCCACAAACTGGGTCCTCATTTAACCTACCTTAGAAAGGATGGAAGGCTGAGTCAACCTTGAGCCTGGTAAGATTCGAACCTGCAGAAATTGCAGGCAGCTGTGTTAATAACAGGGTGCATTAAACCACTGTACTACCAAGGCTCTTGCAAGACACTAGATATTTGTTTTAAATTCTGATATTATTTTAATAAAACCAGGAGACACACTAATGGATAACTGAGATCAAATGTCATATACGCATATATATTTTTTGTTTCAGTTCATATTTCTGTATTATGCTGAGGCCATTCTTTTGTGATCTTCAGCTTCTGAAGTAGTGGTTCAGTGCTATTCTGAACATTTCCTCTGTGAGAGAGAAAGAGTTGCTGGAAAGCTATGAATACCTTAGATAGTTTTGAGCAGTTAGCAGGCACCAGGATTGCAATGGTCTCTTGGCAGCTTATGCAACCAAATCCTATACTCTGGGAAAGCCTGTCTTTGAAAAAGGCTGGATCAGTGGTGGGCTGCTACCGGTTCGCCTCGGTTCGGGTGAATCGGTAGCAGCAGCGGCGGGAAGCTCCGCCCACGCACCTGGATGTCATCAAATATGCTCTGCGCATGCAACCAGTAGTAAAGGTAAATGAAACCCACCACTGGTCTGGACTCTGGATATAATCTATATTTGCAAGGCCCTGTGGGAAACCTAATGAAAAAGAAGCAGGAGTAGGAAAGGAGGAATGCCAGAAAGTCTTTTAAAATGTTTCCCTCTCCAATCCATCTCCCAGCGCTCTTTTGTGGACCACTTAGTCTTAAGGCAAACTCTTTGACTTGCAAATCAAAGAAGCATGTCCTTAATTTTCCAAAATGTCCTTATATATTGGTAATGCTCATATTTTACCATTTGATTCAAAGATGCTCAAGTTCAACAGCAAGCTAAAATTCAGTAAAACCTATTGAATGGAATACAACGCAGTCAACCTAATTATTATACCGTTGATAGTTCTGTCTCATGAATAGCAGTCAGTTGCTGTAGCCAGTAACTTGCTGCCAAAGATGTTTCTGTTAACAGAACACAGATTATGAGTGCAATATGAGTTTGAGTGTTAAGGATTTTTACCTAGACAATTATGTAATTTTATTTTATTTATTTATTAAACAATTTATATGGCTGTCCAACTCATACACATTGATTCCAGGCAGCCTACAGAATTAAAGTTTTTAAAAAATTAAACTAAAATTAAAAATTTGTATTGGAAGTGCAAGAAAACATCAGAATACCTTATTTGAAATTGTCTTTGGGGAATTTGATGTTATCTTCTGCCTTTACCACATACTGAACTCCCAACCACCTTTAAGAGTTTTTGCTGCCTATAGGATTTTTGTATTAGAAACAGGATGTATTAGACATTTTAGTTCCATATCAAGTATTATGTGGATCACCCTATTTCAGATCAGCTTTATGTTCAAGTGGGGGATAACTATTGGAAATTCCTGAAGACTGTTGTAGATGTGATTTTTGATCTATAGAAATCTTTCCCAATTTGGTGCTTTCTAAATATATCATAGTACAATCTCCATCATCCTGCCATCCATAAAGACAAGGGAGATCTAAAGAGTACTACAAGGCACATCTTTGTATGTGGAGAAAGCACATTGAGATCATACTTGCTCTTTAACAATTGATTGAAAACCAGAGCTCTGATTTTGCTGA